GAAGCATTGTCTCCATAATATAATGGAATTCAAATTTAAATTTGAGATACCTTGGAGAATTTGGATAGTATAAAACAGAGTGAAGAATTGGAGATATTATATGAACAAAGTTGTGGCGTTCCTATTGATTTTAAAAATACAAAAAGTTTCTAGGTTTTTTTAATTATAACAGTACGAAAACCCCGCTTGAGTTATTGGTAGCTATATAATGCGAGGTATCAGTAAGAGATGATATATATACGAAGATGAAGTCAGGGGGTTTACCATAAAATAAAATTTTGAATTTTCGTATTCAATTTCGTGTTTTCAGTATACCGAAATCAGCCTATTAATGAAGCTTAGCATTTCATTCGTTATAAATCCTACCATAAAAGTCCAAAGGAACGATATTTTAATTTTTAAAACAGTATACGTAATGTAATTATAATATAAAATTTCTGTTTCTTTTGACCTCAAATATTCGGAAAACATTTCATGGTACGCCCTTAGATTAGTTGGCAAATTTTGATAAATTCGCCACGAATTAACTAATATGGTGTCAATGGGAACCATCGGAAAGACAACCATACTGCTTAAACTTATTAATTCGATTACTAATATTCCCCCATCCCTCTATTGTAAATAAAATATACAAAGTTTATAAACAAACTTTCATAAATATTATTTCAATAATACATACATTGAATTATTATTACTCTTTACGTCTGAATAATTATTAATATTTAAATATATATATGAAGTTCTTTGTATTATATATATTATATATGTATAAGAAATGTATAACATTTCTTTACTACTGAGTTAGGTATAGCAATAAATAATAGGCCGATGATAACAACCGGATTCAAATGTTATCAAATACAACACTATACCTTCACAATAATGTTGTGATAACATGACCACAGATAATAACAATACATGACTCAAATACTCTCATCACATTATACAAAGAATACACAAAGGAACTATGTCCTTAGATATATTTTGTTATTAATATGCATTTCTTATTATATCCTCATACTATATATGCTTGGAAGTGAAACCAAGTTTATAATTAGAAATCAAGCCAATGAACTCGAGGTACGCCATCTACCATGGAATAGTAGAACTAATGGCGGTAGTATTTATTGTGCATCGATGTAACTACTAGTTAAGCCATATTATCAATAGATGGCAGGGGACGAAAATAAAAAGTGACAGTTTTGAATAGTAATTTTTAAACGTACATTGTACCAGTCTGTTATTGTTATCTTGATTATTATAAATTGTATGAAAATATTGTTTCTAAATATAAATGCACTACTATATGATGGTGATATTTTATTATTGATTTAAAATAAAAACTATGTTCACGACTAACCTAGGTGGGATAGTCAGATAAGTATTTTGGTTAACTGTAGCTGTTATAGTGGACGTAATACTTGCTCAATTTTGATGAGCATATTTCAATATAACGAATTAAGCCACCGTCGATCTAATTCATTTAGTTTGTAAACGATGTTTTTTATCATCGGAAATTTAAATAGACACACATTTTTTTTTTTTTTACTCTGAGGTCTAACTATCTATACTTTTACAACGATTTACATAACAGAGTCCATTTTTATAATTGCATTACGACTCCGTTTACGTTTACATCGAGTATAGTACTATTTGTGACGTCAATAAACCTAGCTGCGCCTCTAACGGACGATTTCGGAAATTTTCATACAAACATCTAACCCTGCCAGGAGGGTGGGGGGAGGGATTATTAGTAATGAGGTCTAATAGCACCATTGCTAGCAATATACCCTATTAGCTACTAATGGGTGGTAATGGAATGGTAACCGCGCCTGCGCTAATAGTATACGCTGGCAGGGCACCAGTGATAGGTGACGATGAAAGCAGGTCAGTTTGCTCACGGTGACGAATCCACGCGGTTCCTCCTGGAAACTATCATGGTTAATTCTAGTCGAATAAATTATGGTGGGCCAACTGACCTGCATTCATTCTCACCTATCATCTTCCACTGGTGCCTCGTCGTTGTAACGATATATAGTGCAGGTGAGGTTACCATTCCATTACCACCCATTTTTTTTGGTAGGTGAAAATGGTATGGTAACCCCGCCTGCGCTAACGGGATACTCTGGCAGAGCACCAGTGAAGAGTGATAGATGAATGAAAACAGGTCAGTTAGCCCATCATGATGAATTCATCAGGAATTAACCATGATAGTTTCCAGGAGTAACCGCGAGGAGGTCGACCTGGTTGGGTATATTGCTAGCAATGGGATTCTCAGTCTCCATTACTAACAATCTCTTACCCCCCTATTATCACCCATTAGTAGCTTATAGGGTATATTGCTAGCAATGGTGCTATTAGACCTCATTTACACCCATAAAAAATACATCTGCCAGGATGACTTAGAAGAGTTGTCGACGTCATACAAATCACATTAAGCGCTACATTAAGTTATTATAATATTAAATAAAAAAAATTTTATTCAAGTAAACTTAATAATAAGCATTTTTGTATAGTAATTTTTTTTATTAAACTACCGCTCAGTTCGAAATGCTATTTTAGCTAAGAAGAACGGACAAGAAACACAGCTGTTGTTTTTTTTTTTAAATACAAATTAATAATAATAATAAAAGTAATTATTATTAATTTAATTTATTTATTTTAGACAACTTGAATCCATTTTTGTTAATGAGTTTACTTTAAAACTATGTTAATACTTAATCACTAATAATGATCTAGTCCTTTCGACAGGCATTCTCACGAGAGGGCTATCTAATTTATTGACAAACATGTTCAGGATACTGTTGCCACTCCTGCGTATTCTATGTAAAAACGAAGCTGTTTTTTACGCTAGACTGCGTCAAAACTAATGATGGACGTAGACATTTTAGCCCGGTACCTATTTTTTTTTTATGAATGATACTGGAATGGTAACCCCGCCTGCGCTATCGGTATACGCTGGTGAGGCACCAGTGAGGTACGATAGATGAGGATGAAAGCAGGTCAGTTAGCCCATTGTGACGAACTCCACTAGAATTAAGCACGATGATTTCCAGTGGGAACCGCGTGGAGGTCGACCTGATAGGGTCTATTGCTGGCAATGGGTCAATTAGACTTTATTACTAACAATCCCTTTCCCCCCGCCCAGTACCTATTGTAGTCTCATGTAATAATTTATCATAAAAATTCACAAGGCAAAGTTATGGCACAGAATAAATGTCTAATATTATTTATTGGATGGGGGGAGGGGATTGTTAGACTATCAATCCTATTGCTAGCAAATTACCCTGTCAGGTCGGCCGCCATGTGGTCCTTTTTGGAAACTATCGTGCTAAATTCCAGGTGTATTCATCACGATCGATTTTTATTCACGTGCATCATCCCTCACTGGTCACGAGCCACCATCATCCACCAGCGTATACCGGTAGCGTAGGCGGGATTACCATTCCATTATCATCTAATAAAAACAAAAATGTGGCAGACATTGTACGACTATGGCCTTATTAGCCTACCTAATCATAGACAAATATTGACTGTAAACTCGTAAGTGTTCTAATGTCTATGCTGTGATGTCATAGTGATAATCTTTTAGGTTAATAATATCAATTGACAAGGGACACAATTCATAGACAGTTTTTAACACATTTTTTTTTTATTATCCTCAAATAAGCTTTTCAAGTTGCCTGTATTTTTTTATGTGCATATTATACGCTTTTTTTCTCGGATTCTAAAACTATTTTGATAATTATTCATGTAATAGAGAGGATTCCTATTCCGTGTCAGTTTACGTTACGTGGGAATACGTGAGAATGAAAAGGCAGGTCAACTTGGTCCATCGTGATGAATTCACCTGGAATTCAGCATGATGGTTTCAGAGGGGACCACGTGGAGGTCGACCTAATAGAGTCTATTGTTAGCAATGGGGCTCTTAGAGACCATTATTAACAATCCCTTCCCCCAGATGTAGATAGTAATAGATACCTCAACTTGATGACCTACTTCATTTTCATCTGTCATCTATCACTGGTGCCCCGCCAGTGTATACCGATAGCGCAGGCGGCGTTACCATACCATTTTTTTTAATGGATGAATGGTAACCCCACTCGCGCTATCGGTATACATTGGTGGGGCACCAGTGAGGGATGATAGGGGAGGATGAAGTCAGGTCAGTTGGCCCATCGCGACGAATTTGACAATAATTAATCACGATGATTTCCAGGGGGAACCGCGTGGAGGTCGACCTGACAGGGTATATTGCTAGCAATGAGAATTAACGTCCCTATTACTAACAATCCTTCTCCCCCCGTTACCATACCATTATCATCCATAAAAAAAAAAAACTACCTACAACTTATTAATATATCATAATTAAATTGTACCTAAACGATGTTTGTGCATGAGAGATACATATTTAAGAAAAAATAATATGAACGATCTTAATAAGACCCTTAAAAGTCAAAACAATAATTCTTAAAAAAAATAAAATGTTTGTTAGTGTATCTGTATGTTATCAGGTTTTCAGTTACATCCAACTTAAAATGTGGTAACTCTTTATACGCCATCTAGAAGTATACGAAATAGTGGACATAAAACTAGTATTATCATACAAACATTTAGGTATTTAACAAGTGTATTTATGTATATCTGACACTTTTCCATTTATTTAGATACGTATATATTCATCTCATTGTCAAAAATGGCTGTAATATAAACAAACACATGAAACGTGCATAGACACACGCTTTGTTTTACTGTCGACTACTTTTGCTTATTATCACTACAGAGGTATGTATGACATCACCACCTTTGCCATTACATTACAAGCGTTCACGTAAAAACACTCGGTTCGCGGAAGAAATGAAATGGTCTCGCTTGGCTGAATGAGTACGTTCCTTCGCCTATATCCCTTGAACTTGATAGCGAAAAACCGCGCGAAGGTAAACAAAACAAACACCGCGGCGACTCCTGGTAACTCGTTGACTGTCGACGAGCATTTGTCATTTGGAAATCAAACGCGTCGCTCGCTGGAGCGCTAGTGTCCTCGCGCGCGCTCCGCGAAGTTTCCAAACGTGATTCTGACGTTTAGAAAATAAAGCGTTCCTTTTTCAAATATTTAAAAAGTGAGTGTATAGATTGCGGCCAGTGTGTTAAGATATTTTATAGTGTTGGGCTAATTGAAGTGAATGTGTTTTTTTGTTGACAATATCATGTCATTGTTAGTATTCATGAAGGAAATGACAGCAAAATAACCGATAAGCAGCTGATACTGCGAGTGTACACATTAGGTATTCCTCCATAGATTATTATTGATAGCAACTCCACATTTTTTGATAGGTTACGTTAGTTGGTTATCGTTCGTAAATTTGCTAAGTATTGGATATTGATCAACTTAGGTACTTTCGAATTAGGTACTTTAGGAATTTCGAACCTAAATTAATACTGCTTACCTTTATTTATAAGTTAATAGGATAAGAATAGGTACATATCCATAAAAAAATCTCTGGATGTTTATAATATTTATGATTTAAGGTAATTTCAAATAAATTTTTACCCACTACACGAAAGAACTGATAATCATAGTATCTAAGTTTAGTGAAATTTTCTATTTATGATTAAAAAGTGAAACATCTTAGACCCTTTTACTTACACAGTAAATCTTTTCGTTTACGTATGTAGATCGAGTATACAAGCAAGTAGGTAATTAGGTAATATGAGCTATAGACGAAAAATATACCTTAAGTATAAATAATTACAGTCTATTACCCATTTCATTATGGTCAGCTGTTTGTAATTTAAAATAATATTAAAGCAAATTGGTAGGTAGCTACGACGTTTACTTACTTTTATATTTTAACCAACAGACAAGAGTATTCTCAATTTTACTGGTCTCCGATTATGCAACAAATTAAATAGGTATTTTTTTAAGGTTTTGTTTATGCGTAAATTTCGTGTTCTTTTTTAGAAAAATAAAAATATAATCCCGAACATAGAGAAAGAAATCACTACGTTATTTAAGAGTTGATATTGTCTTTTATTTAGTAAAATGAATCTATGCAACCAACTAGAAGTATCTTTACAATAAAATATTTTTAATAGCTTCACAGCTTTGGATATTTCTTTTCATCGCGTCTTTAACTTAAATTAGTTCCATTGTACTAACTAATCTTCTAAAAGAATTTATCTTATTGATCGCATATCGTGGTGTCAGTATACACAAAAATTTAATAAATATTTATAATGGTGTGCAAATGTTTATAATATGCCTTTATCCAAAATATCGATTTAGACATAATAAAAGACCTAAATATTTTATAGTATAAAATTTTCAAATTCAATGCATAGGTTGATTTCATACAATTTTTTTTTTCGAAGTAATGCCGCCCCACTCAGGGCTATAATCCCTAATGCCTTAGATAGAGGTATGTGTCAATTGTTTGACTCTTTTACTTACTAAATTAATAATTATTTGAATACCTATATCAACAAGTTTTATTTCCTATCGCCCAGTACGTATATCAGCAGAATGGATATTAGATACAAATTACTACCTGATAAATAATAACAATATATTATATAATGATTGTCATGGATAAAATATTAGCTAGTATATAACAATAACAACGGACATGTTGGTACGTCCATTGGATAAATTTAATAATATGAAGTGCATTTTGTCCAGTACTTTGTACGCGTGGATTTGAGAAATGAGAGAACAAATTAAATAGATCACTTCTGGATGGCGTATCAAAATAAGACATATGTATATTAATTTTTAAGTTAGATATTCAGGAATACAGCTGTGAAAACCGCAACCAATTTGATTTTTTTTTTTCTAATATTTTGATGTTTTGATGCAAACAAGCTGAAGGCCCATCTGGAAAGCGGTAAGCATTGCCTGTAGACATGAACAGTACCATGGACATAACAGAATATACTGTTTTACCCATAATACCCCCCATGCGTTGCCATCCTTGAGAACTCAGGTGTTATTCCTCTGTACCCTGTGAATTCACTAACAGTTTTTAAACAATCAAATCTTTCCTCTTTATAACATTAGTTTTATTCTTATTAGTGTTATTAAAATTCTAAATATTATTGTTCTAACTTATCTTTGTTTTTTTTTTCTTTTTTAATTTGTGTAATCGATACATAGTTATGCATATAAAGGCAATCGAAGTCTTTGATCAGCACAGCAATTATTGAGGTCGTAGCGTGTCTTAAGGTCACAGGAATTAAATGATCTATGGTTGAACAACTCATCATATACTACTTGGGTGGTTAAAATCGTTAAATCAGCAGTTAAATATCCAATCCTGAACATAGGCCACATTACGTTTAAAATTATATGTTCTTAATATTATGTTTGTGTACAATAAAGAATAGGCCTCCCCCGTAAGAGAGGTTTTGCTAGTAACTATTGGTAAAAATGTAACGAACATTTAGGCAAATATTCTAAAAAAAATAGTTATCAGATATCTCCTGTCAATTATAGATAGATAGATAGATACTCTTTATTGTTTCCTCCAAAAAATTATAATAGTAAACTTATTATAAATATAAACAATTACAAGAAATAATCACAATGAGAAAACAATGGGCGACCTTATCGCTAAAAGCGATCTCTTCCAGGCAACCTTTGGATGGAGAGGAGTAATTATTTTTTTACTTAAATATCTCCTATATATACAATATCATCGTCATCATATCAGCCCTTAACTATCTACTGCTGAATATAGGTCTCTTTTGGTGTTTTTGCCAGTAGTTGCCACGTTTGGCAGGCGGATTAGCAACCGCAGTTAGGCTTTAGATATTTTGAGATGTATGCTGCTACCCATCTCTAGACCATTAATAGCCTTTCACGACACTCACAAAAAAGGAAGAAGTGATCCATTTTATATATCGTGACCACACGACATACGGCACTCACACACACAAACACGGCGGTGTTTATAAATACGATGTATAAATTTGATCCCGAAACCATAGGTCCCTCAAATATCTTACCCCCCCCCCCCCCCCCCCTTAATAACAGTCACAGTGAGCCCTCGAATAATTCGATAGGCCTACTGGACCTGTCAATAAAATTTGTTCAGTTTGTTACACCGAAATAGAAAAGTGAATTTGTGACATGTAACGTTCCAAAGTGTAATATTTTGTGAGGCCTGATATAAAATTTCTTTTAACATTACTTGTTGGGGAGAAAGGGATTGTTAGTAACGGAGACTGAGAATTCTTTTGCTAGCAATATACCCAACCAGGTCAACCTCCTCGTGGTTCCCTCTGGAAACTATAATAGTTAATTCCTGATGAATTCATCATGATGGGCTAACTGGCCTGTTTTCATTTTCATCGATCACCCTTCACTGGTGCTCCGCCAGCGTATCTCGTTAGCGCGGGCGGGGTTACCATACCATTGTCATCCATAAAAAAAAAACCATTACTTGTTTTCAATTTAACTATAATAGAAAAGTGGAAATGGAATTTAAATGTTATTAGTGGATTATGTTATTTTACCAGAGGGAAGCTTTGTACAAAAGTCGATTGCTTGGGTACTTCTGTCCCAACCGTGACAGCCGTGTCGTGTTTCAACCGTGAAGCAGTTGTGTTTGCATGGCTGTGTTTCGGTTTGAAGGGTGGGATATGGCGTGAATTTACTGGGTACAGAGGAATAACACCTGAATTCTCAGGAATAGCAACGGCATGGGGAGTATCATGGGCGGAACAGTATACTCTGTTATGTCCATGGTACTGCTCATGTCTATAGGCGACGGTTACCACTTTCCATCAAGTGAACCGTTGGCTTGTTATGATATATATATATATGTGTGTATATATATATATATATATATATATATATATATATATATATATATATATATATATATATATATATATATATATTCTTTGATTGGAAAAATTTTGAAATCTGAATTTTCGTCCTTATACTATTTTAATTGTATTTATTTGTGAATTTCTTTATCTTCACAGCATGTCGCGAACGGGTAAGCAGTAAGATTTTTACCACCTACACCGAATTATAAATGCGTATATAGTAATGATAAAAAACTGCTGAATATTGAGGATAATATGATATCTGGTGCTAAGATTACAACATAATTGATTAGTTCATTTATCTCATATGTACATATCTCATCCATTAGGTAAATGATTTAGATTTTGATAATAATAATACTTAAAGATAAAAACAATGAGTAGTCTTAAATATTTAAATAAATCTATACTTTTTTTTTATACAACTTAGAATGGCAAACAAGCTGACGGCCCACCTGATGGAAAGTGGTAACCGTCGCCTATAGACATGAGCAGTACCATGGACATAACAGAGTATACTGTTTCGCCCATGATACTCCCCATGCCGTTGCTATTCCTGAGGACTCAGGTGTTATTCCTCTGTACCCAGTAAATTCACGCCATATCCCATCCTTCAAACCGAAACACAGCCATGCAAACACAACTGCTTTACGGTTGAAACACGAATGGGACAGAGGTACCCAAGCAATCGACTTTTGTACAAAGTCTCCCTCTGGTATACCAAATTGATATATTTTATATATTATAAATACCTCTCCATCTATATCAAAGAATTTATATATTTTCTCTTTCAATATTCTTTCAAAGAACCGATTTAAAAAAATAAAAGTAAGCAATTTGATGAAATAACGTTTCTGATAAAATTATTATGCGACTAATAAGGGAGTAAAGCCAGTCGACTGAAAAATTAAAACAATCAATTTAAACTTAATAAAGATATCGGGTAAATTATACACAAATATATTACATCCGAATTCGGTTACTCCTATTTTTATGTTGTTTAAAAATAGATACCATACTTAAATCAGAAAATTTAAAGTTATAGACCACTCTGTCTAGACATAAAATAAAATTTGATTTTTAAAGTAAAACGCCAATTGTTAACACAAACGCGTATCTCAGTGTTTGGCAAGGTACCAATTCAATATCCGTATTGATACACTTATCAATATTCGATTTGCACACATCAAAATTGATTATACAGGTAAACTATGTAGAATCAAAATACTTTCACGGTCCTCCCACACTAGTAAATCTCTTGCCAAGATTTATTACTGGATTAAATGTACAAATATTTACAGTTGACTAATTAACTTCTAGTAACAAACTAGGGTTTCCAATCTCGATTCTGTTTTAAGATCGATTATTAGATCTTGATCTTCGATTTTATAAATCGATTTGAAAACAGATTGATAAAAATTGAAATAATATTTGTCATTCTGTATATTTTTCC